GATGAGATTTGACCGAGTTATGGGGGTGGTAGTTTTTGACCCATGTCTATATACGAATCTTGGGGTAAGATTTGGACATGAATTTCGACTAAAAAATCGGTGTTCAGATTTGAATGCCAGATTAATCTAGAGGGAAAACCATGAAGAAAAATCCAAACTTCGTGGAAATCGGATGAGATTTGACCGAGTTATGGGGGTGGTAGTTTTTGACCCATGTCTATATACGAATCTTGGGGTAAGATTTGGACATGAATTTCGACTAAAAAATCGGTGTTCAGATTTGAATGCCAGATTAATCTAGAGGGAAAACCATGAAGAAAAATACAAACTTCATGAAAATCGGATGAGATTTGACCGAGTTATGGGGGTGGTAGTTTTTGACCCATGTCTATATACGAATCTTGGGGTAAGATTTGGACATGAATTTCGACTAAAAAATCGGTGTTCAGATTTGAATGCCAGATTAATCTAGAGAGAAAACCATGAAGAAAAATACAAACTTCATGAAAATCGGATGAGATTTGACCGAGTTATACGGACTGAAATGAAATGAAATTATAAAAATTCAGTTTTGTAGACTTCAAATTGTGTTTCTGGTTTCATTTTGGTTTTCTCGTTGTTTATTTACATTCTAAAGTTGTTTATGATTTACCTTGGTGATCGTCAAATTCGCTTTCATCTCGTTTTTCATATTTTGTTAGCGCCAATTTCTTTTACTCGCTATTTTCGTACTCGTAGGCCCACTTTTTGCTTATACCCTGGATTCTTAAGTGTGCCCTAGGGGTATACTGGGCCAAAGCACGAAAAGGCCAATCGACTACCCTTAACTGGATCAGAACTAAGGACTTGTAAGATATATTAGGCGTTTAGTTAACACTTTTCTGGGTCAGAACTAAGCACTTATTATATTTATTATAGAATATTTATAGATTGGGATTAGTTGGTATAAGTTTATTAATATATGAATATAATTGTATGAGGATTTTAAGAGTCTAGAACTTACTTAGTTACTAGATACTACATATGACTGTAAGAGCATGATTAGAGTCTAGAACTGGATTGTGGATTGCCTATAGATTACATTAGATTAGCTAATTTCTAGATGGCTCAGTACTACATTAATATTACTGTATGAGAATGTTCCTTACAGAGAAAAAAGTTCTCCAAACTGAAATATTAAATAGACTTTTATAAGAAGCTCTCCTTCTTACAAGTTTTTCAAAAGTGGTTCGTAATAATAACTGGAGAATTATGCATAATTGGATGATGCAATTTGTTAGGCTGCACCTCTAGACCTCTTATTATAATTGTCCCAACGTCAGACTGTTTATAAAATGATTCGTTCTAACCAGAACTGTAAGAGCTAAAAAACTCGTAACTTACAAGCTATCTACTTCTTTTATAGCATACTCAGTATATAAACTTAGCCCATTCTATTTAAATTAATATAAATTTCTTAATTTTTATGTTATGCGCGCTTTAGATGCCCAAATAAGTATATACATATTTGTTGCCCCAAATCGATAAATATCGATTTTCACTTAAGTTTCCACTCCATTTTGTGCGGCCAGGCAGACCGAAATAGAAGTTATGTCATATTAGCGTAACATTAATAAATGATTTGGACTGCGATTGTGTTGTTCCATGTATCATCTAATGTGATTTATATAATTTAAGTTGATACACACACTATTTAATTACAAACAAGCAATAAAAGCTAAAACTAAGACTCGAGTCTCTGTGAGTGAAGTATATTTTATCAGTTGAAAAATGATTTACAATTAACTGAAGCACACACACAAATATACACGAATAGCGAAAAGTGGAAGCCGGTCGTCACATTGTCTGCCAGCGCAAAAAAAAGCTGTATATAGCACACACACACATACACATATATCGCTATATATACGTATATAATAATGATTCTGAGAAATTGATGTTTTTACTGAGCATGCGAACCACTAATGAATCATTTAGCAGATGTCCGTCTCGTACGGCAAAAGCTATGAAAACTGAGACGTATGCGACACTTTTTGAATTATTGCCAAAAGAAAATATTTTGTTTGAGAAGCACACGAAAATAAATATAAAAAACAAGAGTGCACCAGTCGCGAGAATGCCTGACTAGAAGTTACCCTATGCCTGGTTTCCTTAAAGACATGTATGAGGATTACATTCCGTCTGATCCTTAGATTCTCGTGAATGCGTTTGGTATTAGCTTCGATATTTATTGTCCGATCTGTAGGTAATGTTAAGGGCATCAATAATGCATACAAATGTGTGTAGATACGAAAGATGAGCTAAAAAATTCGACATGTTTGGTTAATTTTTTGAGAAGAATTGTGGGAGTTTTCCCAAAAATAAAATATACTTAACTAGGAGACGTTAGGCTCTGCAATATGTTCAAAGTTCAAAATATTGTTATCGCTTTTTATCGATATTTTTGGAATTAGGTTAAGAATCGATTATTTTAAGATATCTACATAAATAGCAAGAGCTACGTTCTCTAAAATCGTCTCGTTTACATAAACAAAAAGATGATCTGGCAAGAAAATCTGAAATCTGTCAATCTGTGAAATCAAATTATCGATTTATTTGAAAATGTGTCAATTATCGATTACTTTTATCGAACCGCATTTGGAAGCTGTGCTCGAAATTTCTCATTCTCTGAGTTGGTCTGGCTTGCACATACGAAAAGTCGAATCGACAATGAAATCTGAAATCGAATAATCGATTTATTGGAATCGAGCCAAGTATCGATTACTTGAATAGATAATAGCAAGAAATTGCACAGCTCTAGCTTCTAAAAATCTCTGAGATCAGCGCGTTCACAGATGCGAACAGATGAACGAACATGTCAATATATAATCGCGTTGATATTGATCATGAATATATATATTTATGTACATAATGGGGTCGAAGATGTCTGCTGAGCGTTACACACTTGGCGGCAACGTCATAATAGCTTTTACACGGGATTACAAATATGATATAAAATGCGAGCATTTTGCGTGTTGGCATCAGAATTTGTCATTGAATTAAAATGGATCGTTTAATTGGCCGTTCTCTGTGGCTAGCTAATGCAATGTTAGATTAATTTGTTTACATTTCTCATGAAACTGAACTAAAGACTATTTTTAACAAGTTTCTGTCGTTATGTCTTTCAATGCACTTGGCATTTGGCACAGTTTACGTTTCTTTGTCGCCCTGAAATGCTTAAATTAAATATGTGTACACGATTTATATACATATATCTAGATATGTATATATAGCACGATTTGATACGCCCCCAGTGTACATATTTGCATTGGCCAATTTTCTGTATAAACTTATAGTTTTTACCTTTGTGCAGTCGCTCGTCATATCAAGCGACAAATATTTACATTTGTCTCTAAAGTGATTTTCATGTTTCGATTGCCCCTTGTCAAATTATATGGTAATCATAAGAGAGCTTCTAAATTTAGACAGAAAATTACTTGACTACCAGCGAGTGCGTCCCAAATGATAGACAGGAACTTGTCCGAGCCCCGGCCCCAGCCGCAGCCCCAGCTCCGAGTCGTAGTCGCAAATTACAAGTTCACGATTTGTCGGGCCACAAATTCGTTTGGAAATGCCGCAATTTCGTTTTGTTTTTTTGACATTTGCGGACAATTTGTCTATGTCTTACGGCACTCATCTTGATGATGACAACGACGATGATGATGATGTTGGGTGTGTGGGGTAGATACGCACGCGCCATAAGCTACGTCTTATTTGCCATATTTGTAGAGTATAAAGTTGTATGTAAATGGGTTTTATTTGTGACAAATGTTTGAATGACTTTATACAATGGCAAATGATTCCAAATGCCCTATAAGGCATGCCACAGGGGGCATATGCGTGGGTTCATCAGATACATTCAACTATTTTGGAGCATCTTTTTGTATATTCAATTAAAATAAATGTCTCTGTTAAATGATTTGCTTAACTTTTCAATACTTAACCATTTTTGTGCATTGGTCATCTTTACAGGGTATGCTCTAGTCGAGCAGTTTTTGTTATAATCATGTTATGATTATGGCAATTAGAAAGAAACTTTTTGTATATTCTCAATTCAAATAAATGTCTCTGTTAAATGATTTGCTTAACTTTTCTATGACTTACCATCATCATGCGCTATTCATCTTTACAGGGTATGCTCTAGTCGATCAGTTTTTGTTATTGTCATTTATCTCTATTTCGACGCAGTTGCTTTGAAATTGTCACATTGCATGACAAACGGAAGAGTCAACAGTTTATTGACTCAACAATGTTCTTTGTTTTATGTATTTTTTATCACAAATTGCGGAATTTTGATCAGCTGCCTCCGTGAATATATATATATATATATATATATATATGTATATAGTAGACTTCCAGCTATGACGTGTGCGCGCGTGCGGCAATAGAAAATTATTCGGTTATGTTTGTTTTTTCCAAGCTAATGAAAACTATACGAATATATTTTTTCCAAGAAATTATAACGTTTATTAAATGTAATTGATTAGCTTTGAATGCTTTTTACTCATGAGATAGAATATATTGTAAAAAAGATAAAAAGCTTGGGTAAAACTTGAAAAACTATTGGGAAAAAGAAATTTCACAAGAACGTCATCTCGCAGTTGCTTATATAATGACAATTGTTTACCTTTAAAGATTAAAGATTTGATTGGAAACGTTTGACTTTATAAAACTTTCTGAAATCGTACTTTTACATAAGAGCAAATATATATATTTGTTGATTTTAACATTTAAATTTATTTTCCATTCTCCATTATTCATATATTCCCAATTCGCTTATTAAGATATTTAAGTACAACGAGTTCCCAATCTCTGGTCGGTTCGAGTAATTTTAATAATATTACTCCAAGAATAAAGAGTTTGGGTAGATTTTCGCATAAGCTTTCGACTGTTTATCTTAAGATTAGCTTAGTATATATATTATATCTTTAGTTTATTTATTTTAATTTAAATATATTTAGTCTGCCAGGTGTCTAGCATTGCTGAGATCTCCGAGCTGTATGTGAAATCCTGTTACAAGCATCACACACAGCCGCTGAAGAACATCATGGAGCACCTAAAAGCGCTGGATTTGCACCTGGCGCGGCAGCCGCTGCTATCGCTAAAAGGCATTCAGCTGACGCCCAATGATTGCGAGCCGCTGGAGGAGATATTCATGCGGGTATGTGCTAGAGAACATGTTGAGCTGCAAGGCAATTACTTAATTTAATTTTGTTGTACAAAAACCTCATCAGATTCAATACAAAGCCATCGATTTATCAGAGTGCCCGTTGAACGAGAGCTGCCTGAGCGCACTCTGCCAGATGATTGAGTACTATGAGGCTGCCAATGAATTGGATATCTCGTACAACAAGGAGCAGATGACGGTCCGTGGCTGGGGACTGTGCACACATATGGTGGGTCGCAGCCAGGAGCTGCAGATGCTCAATGCTGAGGGCAACCAGATATCAAAGGTGGGCGCCGAGAATTTGGGAACCGCGTTGAGTCTTTCCAATCTGCATACGCTCAAGCTGGAGCATTGCGGCCTCAAAGGACCTCCACTCACCAATTTTTGTAAGTGTGAGTGCATTCGTGTGTGTCTGTGTGTGTGTGTGCATCTCTTTGTGTGCATTAATTTGATAGTACATTAAAACTAGTCTGACTGAAAAACTCTAAAAAATCTCAAAAATTTAAATGTATATATAAAATTGATGTCTGTTACAATTATGTTACAATTGTATCCATGTACTGTACACATTCCTGTCAAATATCAAGGCCTAGAAATAACATACTCAATTATGTAGGAGAACACTTGAGTTAATCCTCTACAAGAATTCTATTTTGTATACCCGTGTAAGCGTATATTTATGTAACATTCCAGTAAAACTTAAACACTTCTAACTAACATATGCAACTATGTTAGCAAGATTCTGTTGATTAATCTTGGTTAAGCACAAATATTTAAATAGATAACATATTTAATATATCAACATATTCCTTCTCTGTTAAAATTATAGTGTAATTTTCATTGTAAATAACTTTCAAACAGAATTTTCCATTATATTAACAGAGCACTCTTAACGGCTGTTAGTAAAAGCTATTTAACATTTGGTATAAAAATGTTAAGCTGTAAACTCCTAGTAGGATCGTAGCAGGAATGACTGTTATTAACATTACAATTGGATTTTGTCTAACATTCAGATTTATTGATATGTACTTTAACATTTGTAGGCTGCAAGCTGTACCACAACAAAATACTGAAGGAGCTGTGGCTGGGCTACAATGATTTGGATTGCACCGATGCTCAGCATATTGCGGACATGCTGCGCTTCAACCACAGCATCGAGCTGATTGACATTAGCAACAACAACATACGCGACGAGGGCGCCATGTACCTGGTGCAGGCGCTCATCCTGCAGGCCACCGAGCTGGAGCGTCGCAGTGGCTTGCCGCTGCAGCGAGCGCGAGCCATTGAGGACGACGAGCTGGTGTCGCCCATGGAGACAACGGCGTCGGCGCAGTTAGCAGGCCGCAGCGAGCAATGCAGCAACCAAATACAGTCGGAGGCACATGCGATTGACCCCAGCACAACGCCAAAAGCCATTGATGTCCTGGAAACTGTTGTCGAGCAGCAGCCAGCAGCAGGGACAGCAGCAGGAGCAGCAGCAGCTGAAGAGCCGAGCACCAGTGAACCAGCCGTTGCCCTGCTTGTGGATGTGGACAACGATGCGGACGATGACAATACAGAGACAGACACGGTGCGCACTCTGAGGAGCGGCAATCAGAGTGCAACTGGGCAATCCATGCTGGACAAATTGCTCTCGATGAACAGCGACAGCAGCAGCGAGGAGGCGCCATCCAATATATCCACCGATACACTAGCCGCCTGCTGCTCCGAGGACATTAGCGAGATCACCAATGATGTCTACGATGCTGCTGGCAAATTGCAATCAGCAGCAGCAGCAGCAGCCACAGCATCCACAGATGAGTCCACAACGACGCTGGTTGATCCAATTCTGGACCAACTAACTCCATCAATCCAGCAACAGCAACAGCAAAGTTCCCAAAATGAACGCAACTTATGTGGTAATATACATTTTCGATTTCTAAAAGCAATCAAATTGGTTTTATAGATATTTATGAAATACTTGCGAATTATTACTAACATTATTAACTGACATTTTTGCAGCTGAACTTGCAGATTATTTATTGGGCATATTCCCGTTTTTACTTTAGGGACTTGTTACTGCATGACCTTGCCGAAAGTGAAAATCGGAACGGCCGAAATGAAATTCACATTTAACAAAAGCGAATATATACTATATATATATATATTTTTATATATATTTACCTAGTAGATTGAAACAGTTCATTTACATAAAAACATCTTTAAAGTTGTAAAGTATTGTTTTTAAAAATCGCAAAGAAAATGGTTTGAATACCAAAAGCAGCTGTAAGATATTAAATGTTTGCGGAAATCCTCTGAATGGGGAGGATCACTTAGGCAACATTTATATGATTTTTCACTATATTGATTGCTCGAAAATCAGAAAGTTCTGCCTGGCAAAGACATATATAATTTGTTAAAATTTAAAAGCGTAATCGAATAATTATTAAATAAAAGATCTGAATGTATAATAAAATATAATGCAGAAAAAGTATAAAAAATAATATAAAAGTATAAAAGAAGCCATAAAAAAAATTAATAATACAAAACTAAATTAAAAATGGAATAAATAAGTGGAATAAAATAAAAAAAAAAATTAAAACAAATTTTGAAATAAAAAAATGAAAAAAATAAACGAATAAAATACTGCAAAAGATACTCTGAAATAAGAATATAAAAAATATTAAAATAAAAAATAATATAAAAAATATTCAAATGAAAAATAATATACAAAATATTAAAATAAAAAAGAATATAAAAATATATAGATGTGTTCAAATGATGCATAAAAGAAAATTAAATTTCCAAGCAGCAAAAATAAGATTTATAAATTCTGATATTCGAGCAATATTTTTTTTTTTTTAGTTATGTTTTAACTCCTTCTGATTATCGTATTTCTAGTTAAACTCATCTTGAGTATTTTTTAATAGTATTCGATTTCTAGTAAAGCTTTAATTTATATTTAAAAGTTAATGTGTATATGTTAGTAAAATAGAAAAAGTAAAAAGGATTTTTGATAGCACTCATCCACACGTAGGATACATTAAAATTGCTTTAACTATGTCAGATGCCATTGCCCCCATTTAATTGTGTATTTGTTGAGGTATTAATATTTAATTTTTCTTGAATGTTTCATATTGCAGATATTACTCCCTCAACAGAGGCTAAAACCGTTGAACCCAATGAAACCTGTGTACAGAATAACAATGCTAATTCCCACAATAACAACAACAACAACAACAGCAACAGCAACAGCAACAACAGCAACCATAACCATAATAATAATCCTGTAATACTTAACCAAATAGCTGCGACTGAGGTAGCAACAGTCGCCGTTAGTTCAAGCGGTGCCGCATCCATTTTTGAGGTGACCGCCGAGGAGAGCGACTGCATCAATGGCATGGCAGGGCCGAGCGGTTCGCGGCCGCTGGACATGAATAAGAATGCCAAGAATGCTGGCGATGATTTCGAGGATACGCACAGCACAGATTCGGCATTCGAGAGCGCCTCGGAGGGCGACATCAGTCGCCATTTGCCGGATGAGTTTAGTCGTCTGTCCGTGTCGCTGGAGAGCACGCGGCTGGATGACATGGCCAAGGAGATGGCCATTGAGACGGCGACCATAGCCAGTGAGTCCACCGAGTGCCTGCTGGTCGCCGAGGAAGCAGCCACGCCCGCCTCCACGCCCACGCCAGTTGTACACATGCAGCCGCAGCCGCAGCTGGAGACACCCGAAGTGATTGTGGCGACGGTGCCCAAGGTAACGATTGCGGCCAAAGAGAAGGAGCCCAGTGCCAGTCCATGTCCGAGTCCAACACCGACACCGCCGCCGCCATCGACATCTCCGGGCGGCGTCAGCAGCGGCCTGCGTCGCACCGAATCCAGCTGTGCCTATCTCAATCAGTCGACGCGCAATCGCTCCCAGAGCTCGGATAGTCTGTGCAGCGAGAACTCGTTGGACGGCAGCACAAGTGCAGCCGATCCGCATCTGGCCGAGAAGCTGACCAAGAACGATACATTGTCGCGTCGCCAGCTGGTCGATGCCACACTGGAGGCGGCCAATCGTGCGCCCAGCGGCCTCAAGGCGCTCGCCCTGTGGAGCAACAATCTGACCAAGGAGTGCGGCCCCTGCATTGCCGAGCTACTCTCGCGCAGCTCCTCGCTGGAGCTGCTCAACATTGGCAAGAACTGTTTGTCCAATGATTTTGTGGCCACCATCAAGGACAGTCTGACCAGGAACACAACGCTCACCACGCTCGGCCTGCAGAGCGCCCATCTCAGCGCCAAGGGCATCGAGACGCTCGCATCCATCCTGACCTTTGGCGGCAACAGCAAATTGCAGCGCATCGATATACGTGACAATAAACTAGAGGTGGAAAGTCTGAACATAATTGCCGAGGTGCTCAAGTCCAACAAGACGATCACCCAAATTGATATCAATGATGAGCCCAAGCGTCTAACGGTAAGTTATTTATGATGGCCTTTGACCCTTGACCCTTGAACGTCCGCCCCATCGAACACGTTAATATATTTGCTTCCCATAAGTGTCATAATTCCAATGCAGGAGCTGAAGCTGACTTGTTAAAGAAGTTATTTTGTTTCACTTATCTAAATGTCAATCGCCTGAGCTAAACTAGCAGGCGATAATTATAGGGTATATATATTTATAGGGTATATTATATCTAAAACAGAAAACTGATGTAGATTGAATGGATAATGAATTTCGAATTGTTTTAAACTGATTTTAAAGAAAACTTCAAGTGACAACATATCTTAAATAATTGATTCGTACATCCAGTAAAATTCTGCTCTGTTCCAATTTTATCGTGAATAATGCAAAAAAGTTTTTTAAAATATTCCCAGATTCCTTAACATTTTCCAATTTTATTGTAAATAATTAAAGTTTGTTTAAAAAATATCTATTATTTATATAAAAACTGTTTTACAATATTCCCAAATATTAAAAAAGGTCTAGACCAGGCTCAGGTCGAGCTCGACTTGTCTCCGTAAAGTTCCAACTGGATTTCAAGAAGTTCATTAAGAACTACATAAATATTGGGTTTCCTAATATGTTGTTCGCAAATATTTCCAATTATATATGAAGTTCCATCTGGATTTGCCTTGGCTTTTGCCCATGTAATTGACATACATGACTTCGGCCCCAGCCGAAGATATCCGTCTCAAGTATATCCCGAATTGTAGTTGTGTGTTGCGTTGATTGTTGACTTTTAATTGAATCATTTTCATTTTGTGCTGTTATTGTTGCTATTGTTGCCAACTCCTTCTCCTTCATCGCAAAGTTACCCATTGTGCCGATAGTAAAAGTTGTGCCGCCAACGCCAATGGCCCAGGATAGCGTAAGTAAATCCCATCACATCCAGCAAATATTTTCTCGCTCCTCTCTTAAGTACTTCTTCGCCTGCTTTTGGGCAATAATCGCATACAGATCTCTCTTGCTACCACTAATAATATTGCTAACAATGCTAACAACGCAAAAGTTCTGCAGCTGCAAATTCGTTTTTTTATGAAAATCACCTTAGCTAAAAAAAAAAAAACAAAAACAAAACAAATATCTGAGCACGATCTACATTATTCTTTATAACAACTATTTGAGAGTGTGCTTAACAGAAATGTGTTCTTTTTTAAGAATAAATAAAAAACAAAATAATATATATTATTTATATGGACATAACAACGTAACGTAATCTATCTTCAGATTGAGAACTCTGTGAAGTATTTAAATTTGTTTAAATTTGTAAAGCAATAAATTATTATATATTCAAATTATTTTGCTTAAAAGCTGTCTCAAGCTTATTAAACTTTTAGAATTGGTTTTTAATGAAATGGAACTAGTTTTATAGTTAGAGTCAAAAATATCTCCAGTCCAAAGTTGTTGGTGGTTCGGTTCACGAATTGAACCAACGTCATTAACCGTACTTTCTATTTTGCCTGAACCAGTTCCAGATCCAGATCCATATCAATATTTAGGATACGAACCGGTTAGCTTCGATTTGGAGTCTAGAAACCAATTGCAGAAAATTTAGCCAACAATTTTCTTTTTAGCTTTGTTCATCATTTAAGTTTCCAATATGATCCAGTTCCAGAACCAGTTCATAGTCTACCAATTATTAATATTCAGTATACGAACCAATTGGTTTCGTTTTTGCAGCATAATTTCCGACTAGTTCCAGGAAGCAACTTGCCGAAAATTCAGTAAATGGCCCATAATTTCCTTTTTTCATCATTTTAGTTCCAAATATTTCGCCAAATGCGGTAACTTCTTAAAGTTCCCAAACTTAGATTTTATAAATAAAAATTGATTTATAATTTTTAATGCAATTAAATCTTTTAAAACGACTAAAAATTTATTAAATATATATTTTTATTTAACTGAAGTACATTAAAAAGCAAGAAAAGCTTTCAGTTTTGCACACACTACAAATAATTGTATTTATTTATATTAGTTTTAGATAAAACACAAATGCCATTTGGTATTAAATGCTGTTGGTTTTTTAATTGCAGATTGGCAGCGATGCGCATTTGGATTATACGCGAGTACTGGGCACAGTGCGCTCCATGTGCTCGCGCAATGAGAAAATGCAGGCGGAGGAGCTGGAGCTGGCGGAGAAGGCGGCGAACGTGGGCGGCAGCAGCAGCAGCAACAACAACGCCGGCAGCAACAGCAGCAGCAGCAATGGCGCCATTGGCGGATCGGGCATCAAGAATCGGTGTCGCGGCGGTTACTACTTGGGCTCGCGGAAGATTTCGCTGACGTGCCACAGTCGGCCGCTGGTGGACGCAGCGACTGGCACTGTGTCCGCTGCGCTAGCAGTAACCGCAATGCCGACACCGGCTGCCAAACTGGAGGTGAAGCGCAAGACAAATGCGCGTCTGCGCTCACCGGGTCCCAGTCCGCCCACGATATCGCCGTCCTCCTCGCCGAATCGCAGCCGCTTTCATGTGTCGCGCGTCAACGAGATTAGCAGCCCGTTGACCTCGCCCCTGGCCCAGATGCCGCCCCAGCATCCGCCGACGCCGCGCTCCGCCAGCAGCTGCATGTCCATACCGACAGCCAGCGGAGTCAGCAGTAGCAGCAGCAGCAATGGTGGCATCGGTGCCGGCGGGCTGCTGGGCAGCCAGAGCAGCCTTTGTGCCATGGCCGTGCTGCCGTTGCCCACGTCCAGTTCGCTGCCATCGATGGCATCGGTAACCTCATCCACACAGACCGTTAAGCGGCTGTCCGTGTCGCCGCGTTCGCGCTTTCATGTCTCGAGGATCTACGAAGATCCGCAGACGCCACCGATACACTTGCCGCCAACGCCGATGCTGAAGTCGGCACGCAAGGCAGCCGCCGCCGCCGCTCAGCTGGCTGAGGCAACAACAACAACAACAATCACAGCAGTTGAACCCGAACCCACATTATCCGCCAGCACAATGACAACGGCGGCAACAACCACAGCGATGCCCATCAGCAGCGTGATTATTGTGGAGCCATCACCCACCGTCGCGGACAATGACAACAATGCACACCAACAAAGTACAAATGGGATGGAGCCGGAGGAGGCAGCTATACAGAAGCTGTCCCCCAACTCGCCCAGCACCTCATCCAGTTCATGCAGCACCTCGCCCGTCTCCGTGTCCAGTGCAACAAGCAGCACCAGCAGCGCCAGCAACGTGACCACCGACAACACGGATAACTCCGGCAGCCCGGAGGAGCCGGCTACCATTGTTGTTGCCAAGAGCTGTCCCATTGCCGTCTTTGGGGACAACGATATAACGCTCACCAAGGACTCGGCCGCCGGTGCGGCGCTCTCGGCAGCTGCCTCAATCAGCACGGATGCCGGCAATCCTCCCGCAGAGTCCACACCGACTGCAACGGGGCAGCAGCAGCAACAGCAGCAGCTACAACAACCGGCGACACGTGCACGCAAATCCTCGTGGATAGCCAATCCAACGACTGTGGACAAGCTGCTCACCCTATTCAATCCGAGCGCCATTTTTCAGCGCAGTTCTTCGCCGGAATCAAAGGCGGCTCCAGCTTCAGCTGTGGCTCCGCTCACAAATAACGCACAGAGTTAGTCAAAAGTCATTAATTTCTTTCAATTCTAAACGTATTCCTAGCTGAAATTGGGTTGTATGTAGGATATATTATGTAACTGTGATCCGTTTCCGTGCTTCAAGGCTTTTGAGGTATTTATACGCAGGGAAGTTTGCGTTTGTTAGCTCTAAGGCTAGGCTATTAATGGGTATCTTAAGTTTATATAGACGAAACGTTAGGCTTAGCTGTAGCGTTTTACAACACTGTTTGATTTGATTGTCTGTTTATTGTTCAACACTCAGACCAAGCCGTAAGAGCTCGGCTTTTTGATAAATTCCAACCGCAAGAGCGGAAAAAGGAAAAATTTTAAAACTCGGGATATCAAAAATTTAAAGAAAATATATATATATATATATATCTTTGTTTTGGATAAAGGCTAGAAATGTTGGCAGATATTTGAACTCCCGAGTTACACGGACAAGCCAGACTGTTGGGCTTGGTGTTCCAGGACAGAGGGAATCTTCGAAACAATCTTTCAGAATTATGTATTTATCTGCAAACTTTTATAACGAAATGCTCATGTGTAAATTGTTGAGCCAGTGTAATGCAATGGGAATGAAGTTCATGGGGACTTTAAGAATTTAAGCATGATTTTCCTCCACTTGCAAAGTTTTTGTTATTTTACTTGATGTTCGTGTGCAGTGTTTAATTTTGTGCTGTTCGCAGATATAACAACAACAACAACAACAAATGCCACAACAGGCGGCAGCGGTGACGTCAACGTGACGCTGTTGGCGACACGCAAAACAACGCCGCCATCGCGAGGCAACGGCGGCAGCAACAATGCGACGACGACAGCAGCAACAGCTGCAGGAGGAGCGGGGTCGACGGGCTCGTTGGCGACAGGAGCATCGGGATTGGAGACGGGCGCCGGCAGCAGCTCATTCCTGGACACAGCGTCGCGTCAGCTGCGTGACTTTGGGAAGCAGGTGTTCCGCCAGAACCTCTCGTTCAATAACAGCGGGGATGGGATGGGCGCTGCGGCGCAGCTGGATGTCAATCCCAGTGCGGTGGCCATGGCGACATCGCCAATATTGAGCAATGTTGCCGAGTCGCCATCGCCTCCAGAATGCAATGCAGTGCACATGCCATTGAGCCTGAAGCGTGAGCTCAAGGAGAACATTTCGCCGGAGCATACCATTAACGAGGAGACACTGCATACGCTCCAGAAGCTGTCGCGCGTCGAGGATATGACGCTGAAGGCCGAGGCTGCTGCCGAGCTGGGCGACATTGAGATTGTGATGCACAGCGAGGTGTCCGATATGCCGGAAACGGAGCAGCAGCAGCAGCAGCAGCAACAGCCGGCGCAGCAGCAGCAGCAGCAGCCACAGCAGGAGGATCTGGGGGCTGGTTTAGGTCATTAAATACTTAACCCAATAAAAGCAACAAAAATGACGTGTGCAATTTGACAATGTTGAGCAGGAAAGGCAGCAATAGCAAACACCCACCTTGGCAATATCCCTGACTCTCTCTCTCTCCCTCCTCACTTTTCCCCACTCTCCCTCTCACTCTCTTTCGCTATCTCTTTGTAGCCCACCCTCTGTCAAAACACCAAAAGCAAGGATATATCCTACTGCTTCTCCTCGGCCCAACCCAACCCAACTCACACACACACACACACACACAAAATACTGTAACAATAAGAAACAAAAGTACACAAGTTTTAAACATAACTTTGTTTTATTTTAATATTTTACTATACATATACACACACATATATATATATATATATCTATTTTTTTTGGTTAAATTCTTTTTAAGTTTTATATACTTATATACCTAATTATACAAAATATATATCTATATATATATATACATATATATTTTAACTATGATATCGTATGGCATGTGAAAGCTGCAAAAACTTTAAATGAAATATGAAAACAACTACTTAAATGTATGTAAATTAGGCCAGCAAATTAGGCTAACCAGAAAACAAAACCAACTATATAATTATATAAACTTTCGGTCAAGTTGAGTTTTTGATATTGGCATTTTGAAAAGTTGTATTCTCTTGGATAATTGTTAATTTTGTACTTACCCACTAACATTTAATTGAAACCAAAAAGATTGTTATGCATACTTAAGTTCAACCAGGAACACACTTTGCTTAAATAATATATATATATATATATATGTATATATATATCTGGAAATGACAAGCATTATAATAAATCAAACTCGACAAATGGCAAGCAATTACTTATAGAGCATGTATACTTACACTTTATAATACAAGACTTGTGTTTGTTGGCCTGCCACAGGCTGCGCCTGGATTATATAACATATATGTGTATAGGCTTAATTGAGAAAACAGTTTGCTCAAAATACTATATAATTGAATGATAAACCCACCAGTCAATCAGAGTAGGCAATGTTAAGTTCAAATGACATCGTACATTCTTACAAATATATATATATATATTTCACGAAAAAACGAAAGAAAGTATAAAAAACAAAAAACCCAAAATAAATCCAATTGATCTCATTATGTGATATTTGTCGTAGTGCCCAAAGCGTTCACTGTATCAACAACAAATTCGCTCAAAGCGAACAAAACCCAAACAAACCCCAACAAAAGGCAACAATTTTTTCCAAAAAATCTAAACGCATATATGTTTGTTAATTTTACAAAATATCCAGTTTAAGCGCAGCCTCTGGCAAAAGCCAAAAAAAAAAAAAGAAATACAACTTTTCAAGCTGCCAATTCTAGAAAAAAAAAATGAAACACTGAATAAATATTCATACTAAGTATCGTATATGAAAAGATCTTGTAAATAATTGATAATTGTTTTAGATGCCGCAGCCCCATTTTAACAATTTACGCATTCAACTAAAAACGATTTTTCTTAGTTTTTTTCTTAATAGTTTTTGTTGTTAATGTTGCGCTTTTTGTTTTTGTTTTGATCAGTTTATTGTTTAATTGCATTTTTTTTTCGCTCAATCCAAACATTTTGTTTGTACTTAATTTACAAATTGTAATCATTTTTTGTGGTGCTCTGAGAATTCGACACTGTAAATGAATTATTTGTTTGTTTTTTTCTTATTTGCCAATAATTACATTGATTTCTTAGGAACGTAAACACAAAGAAAAAAATATCCAAAATAGACAATTCTGAAAATGATAAAACATTGATTTTCTCAGCAGAGATTGGCTAACTATTCGTAGACGCATATTTTTATAATTTAAGCTCATATTTAGTAAACCAAGAGAAACTACTAAAAAATTACTGAATAAACTTTTAAAAGTTATAATGAAGTCAAGTGTAAATGTACGATTTCTTGTTTTAATTGCTGTATTGAATTTTAAAGTGTTTCCATGGCGATATTCAGCTTAAGGTATCAATTATTTGTATACGCATCTTCCGGGCGATATCTTTTCTTATATCCAGGCGAAAAGCTGCACCTTGCTCTGAATATGCCGCAAGGGAGCGCAGTTTCCTCCCGAAGGAAGTTTCTATTTCTACTTCCGTAATTCTAATTCAAAATTATTCGTATTAGGCCTGAAAAGAGTCTTAACATTCAAGCAGCACACTTTTGTTGAGTTAATTTGTTTGAATAATGACTGCATTTTATGCCTGAATAAATTTCATTCAAATTAATTATTTGCAAATTCTTTAAGAGCTCTTTAAATATTATTAGCTGCTCAAGAACACATTAAGATATTTTTAAATTAGAATCAAATTAAATATCTTGACAACTGTTGATATGCGAAACACATGTCAAGCAGGGGAGTGGGGAGGGGGTGGGCGCATGCGGTGGGAGGCATAAAATTTCATTCATAAAGTGCCGAGTTTGTTTACGCCAAGAGATGTGAGTGTATATGTATGTGTGCGTGTGTTTGCTTGGGGTTGCTGTTGCCAGCTAACAGAGCGCTGTTAATGTTGATGTTAAGTCCTGAGCGCTGTTAAGGCTGTGGCTGAGCTCTGGTTTGGCGCCATTCAAATCTGTGCGTTCAGTTGCAGTTGGCGCTTCGTTCGGTGCGGATCGCAACAGTCGCGTGTGCCAGTTAAATATTTAAAACCAATTAAAAACCAAGTTTAACTGGAGGAGGTGCATCAATTCCAGGCAGCGGCTGTGCTGGAGGCAGGCATGGCAATTGTGGGTAATCTGCAGACACACAAGTTTTCATTTTAATTCATTTAATAGCGCTGTCTCGCTGATCCGCCCACACTCACTTCTGTTCCAATTTTGATCATTTTTTTTTTTTATAAAAGACAAAAAGATTCTTAATAAAATAAAAACACCTCGAAAATGTGTGTGTGTGTGTGTGGGTTTGTTCGGCTATGAATGGCGGCACGTGACCGAAAATATTAATCACGGCATGGCATTAACATAATCATTCTGTTGTACATCAAATATTAAGGGGATTTTTAAAAGCTTGGGATATTTGTGTGCAAAAAGGGGTATTATTTAGGGAGTTTAAGCTGCACTTGATAATGTAGATAAGGAAATTATAAGGAAATTTATTTGTTTCTTTATTTATGCACAAGACAAGAAATTAGACGTTCATTATTTCACTAAGTGTTTATAAGTAGGGCATAAATCAAAGATATTTGAATATACCAAGCAACATTTTAATGAATTAGTGTCTGGGGCTTTTGTGTCGTAGGTTCATGAACGGTTCATGAATTGGCTAATTGCCCCCTATTCATTATAATAAACATTGATAGCAGTGTTATATGTTCTTTATTTCCTATTAAGTTGATATTCTTGCAAAAATCGTATTGCTGTTAGGGTTGAGGCAATATAAAAAGTAAATTTGATCCCCAGCCACAAAATATGGTTTGCTTAGAGCCCGAGTCAATTATGGTTTGTGCTTAGGATCGTCTGTTGTATGTGGAATTGGTTCAGTTCACGGTTGGGTTCGCAGCACAACTTTGAAGTTAACCCTCTATTTTTTGTTCCCTTTCTTTTTTTCTCGATAAATATCGATTTCCATATTTTTAAGCACTTCTCGATGCTTTTGAGAGCTGGAGATCACCAAATTTGGCATTAGTTGCGCGCATAGCATAAACAAATCAAAAAAAGATAAAAATATTTCACTTTTCGAATACCTTAAACGCAACTCAACTGAAATTAAACAATTTTATTTATAGTCTGTGCATTACTTAGAGAAAAGATTGACGGGTCGGACTGTACGACTGATGTTGGGCAATTTTCAAAGGCTCGCAACGCTTCTGGATTATACAATTTATTTTGGTTAATTAACCGTAAATTTAGCCACCAACTGTCAGCAACTAAATTAAAACTTACGACATATTCGAATCTGTGTGCTATTTATACGATATATTCCAACTGAAATATTCAAAAAAACAATCGAGCAAAGTATCTGCCAGGTACACACACGCCACTGTGTGCATGTTTAAGTGCACTCATTGCCACACACACACACGTACACACATGTGCACACACACACACACTCGCATGTACAGACAAGTGCTTTCCAAAGTGCTTCACGTTTTGTCATAAATAATAAAAATCAAATTGCCTTTGGCTATTGCCAAAAATGCCGCACACAAAACGAACCAATTCGTCAGAAGGTTATACACAACATACACACACGCACACACACCCACCTACACACACCCACACACAGACGCAGGGGCGTTAAGGCCGCTGCAACACCACGCCCCCCGCCCGACCTGTCCACTGGCTTGGTGCACGTCCAACAATTTCTGATGTCCATTTGCCAGCCTGAAATGCCTGTTTGTTTATTTTAACGCAAAAATCTAAAACCACATCAACATTTTTTATACCCTGAGCCCATTGCAAATGTAGCATAACGGGTATGATGTGCTTATGCAAATGTATGCAACAGGCAGAAGGAAACATCTTCCAGCACATAAGTTCGTCCGTATGCACCACAAGATCTCGGAAACTAACAGAGCTATAGACTGGACTTTGGCAATATATATTCCCAAATTTATCAAAAAGATTTCGATCTATATTTTTCGAATAGGTGGAAGATCCAAACTCTTTAGAAGAGTTGAATACTGGGTTTTTTAAAGCATAACTGGAAAGGTTTAAGATCTAGATACAGATACTGATACAGATACAGATACAGATACAGATACAGATACAGATACAGATACAGATACAGATACAGATACAGATACAGATAAGATACAGATACAGATACAGATACAGATACAGATACAGATACAGATACAGATACAGATACAGATACAGATACAGATACAGATACAGATACAGATACAGATACAGATACAGATACAGATACAGATACAGATACAGATACAGATACAGATACAGATACAGATACAGATACAGATACAGATACAGATACAGATACAGATACAGATACAGATACAGATACAGATACAGATACAGATACAGATACAGATACAGATACAGATACAGATACAGATACAGATACAGATACAGATACAGATACAGATACAGATACAGATACAGATACAGATACAGATACAGATACAGATACAGATACAGATACAGATACAGATACAGATTATGAATATTATGTTTACTTTTTGGCCAGCTCGCCACAAGCCCCCCCAGAGTTGACAATACGAAAGACTCTTCATATCTAAGACCGTGCAAATTTCATAGAGATCGGACTATATGCACCGAAGTTATTCCAAAAAGCATTGCCTATAGTTTGGGGCTGTGTCTTAGTATTAGTGTGTGTGTGTGTGTGTGTGTGTGAGTATTCAGGCATATGAGATAGCTTAAATGTGTGCATTGCCAGCTTGGCGCTGCTTTAGAGCTATCTCTGGGTCGGGCATACCCGAGCAGAGCACGCTTAGTTGTTTGTTTTTATGCCGCCGAAAACAATTTACGCGCCCGGAGAGGTGAATTTTTTGTTGCTGCTGCTCCGTAACTATAACAGCTAGAAAGAGCATCGGGATTGGCCATCGGACATCGGCATCGCCATCGCCATCGCCATCGACATCTGGCCCACTCGCATGATCATATGGAAAAAATTGCTATAAAGTACTAAAAATACAATTACCGTGAGAAATTTGCGCTGATTTTGTGACTGATTGTGAGGACGTTTATAGCCGATTTTTAGTGACTGAGACTGCGCTGGGATGGTGGGAGCGTGGCCAGGGTGCAGGGGGCAGGGGTAGGGGTTGGTTGAATGTGTGCGGCCATTTGCCATTTGGCACTTGGCCTGATGATTGAATCATATTTTGTCCGGAGATGTGGAAGAGAGTCGAAGTATGACGTCGCCGACCTTAGTCTGACCGACCTGGTCGTGCACCACTTTGATCTGTGTGTGTCTGGGCAGGCTCCGCCCCATACTCCGCCCCCCGCCACCCGTCCCGACCACCTTGGCGCACATTCCAATAATTATATGCATATGTGTGTGCGATGATGAGGAGAGCGCTTCGGTTATATTTGGTCATTTTTAATAAGGCGTTGCGGCCAAAGCCAAAACAACAATAACCCATTCTCAAGGATGGGGGCCGTAGTGGGCGGGCGGCGGGCGTGGCGTGGCGTGTGACGTAGTCACTTAGCCAAATTTTTGTTGTTTATAAATAATGATCTTGGCCAGACGATCGGATTAGTGCACGTTCGCGTTCCAACGCAGCAGCTCGTACAAAGGCAGTTGCCCAAGAAAAAACATTCGCATTCGGATTCGGGTTAGCCCACATTCATAAACGGAACAGCAAAGCGAACCGGCGGGCGGCAATAATATAAAATGGTGCGCATCGGGTATTATATCACAGTGCAGAGGTGTTCCATATCTATATCTATATCTATGTATATATATATGCGATATATGCAATTTAGGAAGACGATGAGAAAATGGACATTATGCGCAAGGCATTCCAGATGTTCGATACACAAAAGTCGGGCTTTATCGAGACCCTGCGACTAAAGACCATACTGAACAGCATGGGTCAAATGTTCGAGGAGAGCGAACTGCAGGATCTGATCGATGAGAACGATCCCGAGGATACGGGCAAGGTGAATTTCGATGGCTTCTGCAGCATCGCTGCCCACTTTCTCGAGGAGGAGGACGCCGAGGCCATACAGAAGGAGCTGAAGGAGGCGTTCCGTTTGTACGATCGCGAGGGCAACGGTTACATAACGACATCCACGCTCAAGGAGATCCTGGCCGCCCTGGACGACAAGCTGTCCTCCAGCGATCTGGACGGCATCATTGCCGAAATCGATACCGACGGCTCGGGCACCGTCGATTTTGATGGTATGCATGATGCTATCATCCATCCGATCCAAACCGATTAGCTAATCTCTATATTTAAAACTTTTCGCAAATTTTCTTTTGGCAGAGTTCATGGAAATGATGACGGGCGATTGATTCTTATTGGCGGCGACTCTGAAAGACAATGAAATGTCCTTTTTATTTATTTTTGCTGATACAAGTTTTTCATTATTTCTAAATAAATTAACTAAAGATTTTACTCAAAACTTTAGTTATTCTTTGGTTCGTCTGTGCGTGCAAGTGAAACGAAATCAAGCGTGAAGTTTAACATTGCCATCAAAGTTTAGCCTGTAGTTAAGCGCCGCCTGTCAAAATCTAACGTTAGCAATGTATTTGTTTAACACGCATACATATACATATATACATGTATAGACACATATATACACATATATGATACGCACACACTTTTGCCACCGACTGCGTAATACCCTGTTCACAGCTGACAACATGGGGATATAGGATTAGTAACTGTTATACCGTGATTTAAAAACTGTGACTATTCATGAATACTTTTTTTTTTATTTGAATATATGGCCGTGTACGTGGACCTTATATATTTGGTTTGCATTTTGGATATATTTATTCTGTACTATTATTATTTTTCATATTGAAGAATTTTATTTTCGTTTTCAAAAAAAATTAATAAATAAATCAAATAAATTTAAGTCTTCGCCAAGTTGAAACTCTCTAAAACATTGGAAAATAAGTGAACTTATACATAGAAACACTTTTCACACAACGAATATGCCCTTTTTACCATGTGAACAGTGTATGAAAAGTGAGATAAAAAGCGTGACTGGCCGTTAAAAGTTAAGATAACGCTAGATAAATGTTGTACCTCAGCAAGAAACAGTTCATTTTGTAGTCAAAGAGCATATAATACATTTCAAAAATTCGTTCAGAATAAGTTAATCGTGCGAATAATTAAAATGTCACAACAATTAAATGAATATCATAGCCCAAGCGAATTGTTGTTCAGCTGCAATCAAATCAAATAATAGTTTGCATTAAGAGAGAAATGTTATTTAAGTGCTCTTCAAATATAATTTGTTGCAGCCGAGCACATTAAGATATTTTTAAATTAGAATCAAATTAAATAACTTGACAACTGTTGATATGCGAAACACATGTCGGGCAGGGGGGGGGGGTGGAGGGGGTGGGCGGCAGTGTGTGGGTAAACGGCATAAAATTTCATTCATAAAGTCCCGAGTTTGTTTACGCCAAGAGATGTGAGTGTATATGTATGTGAGTGTGTATGTGTGTGTATTTGCTTGGGGTTGCTGTTGCCAGCTAACAGAGCACTGTTAATGTTGATGTTAAGTCCTGAGCGCTGTTAAGCGGCGAGCATCAGGAAAGGTCTCTGCGGCTGAGGCTGAGGCTGAGCTCTGGCTTGGCGCAATTCAAATCTGTGCGTTCAGTTGCAGTTGGCGCTTCGTTCGGTGCGGATCGCAACAGTCGCGTGTGCCAGTGAAATATTCAAATTAAAAACCAAGTTCAATTTTAAAATGTCCACAACCCAGGCTGTTGTTGGCGACTGTAATAGTATGTCAACTGTTGCCACATTGGAGGCGAGTGCGCCAAAGCACAGCATGAACAACAACAATAGCGCCCGTTCCAGCCGCGTTGGCAGCGCAACGGGCAGCGGCACGGCAGCGGATGGCGCAGCTCTGGAGGAGCAACGCTTTGGCTGGCATCGCTTCCAGCCACAGTGGCTGCAGCGCTTCTGCACCGCCAAGTGGGCGCTCTTCTGGCTCTGCTGGGGCGGCGCCTTGCAGGGTAAGTAAGGCTACAGGGTATCTATTGGCACACACCAATTTTGATTGTGAGCCGCGCTTAATTCATTTAACAGATGCGTCGCGCTGAGCCGCCCACATGCATTGCTCTTGAACACAGCTCTTTGAGGCATGTGAGAAAAAAAAAGGAGAAGAATAATAAGATATTTTAATCCACAAAGTTACAGCTAAAATTGCTCAAAACAATATAAAATATATACCATAAAATAATATAAAAATCAAACGTATAAAAGTGCAGTCAGAAAAAGTCAGTTTTGTAGTGTTTCAATTGTTTGACAATCCCATCTTATCTAACGACTATCTGATGCACTTATCTAATCTGGGTGAACCATATTGGTTTACTCTTTTGAGTAAATAAAATGCAAATTAGCTACAAATCCTTGAATAAACAACTTATGCACCTGGCAATCTGGTTATATAAGGGCATAATCCGTATCATAATTGGGATTGGAATTTTCCGATTTCGATTTAGAGAAAACATATTAAATTCTTGTTCAAAATGCACATTTAAAAACTATTTCACAAAATAACAACTTTTATAGAGCTTTACGAAAGTTTTGAATATTCCGAAAGGTATTTGTCCAAATAAAATAAATTTTATATTATATTTTTAGTTATGCCCATATTCAACTTAAAAAAAGAAAAAATGAAAAACTTACAAGTTGTGTGTTTTATTTAAATATTTTATGAAAATTATATTTAAATATTTTTGAGTACTTTCGGCTTGACTTTTTGCAGCCTTTTGCTGCAAAAATATTCTTGTGCAACTTTTGTTTGAGTGCTGTTCTTTTGCGAACTGAAACAGTGTTGCGCAACGTCTGAAGAGTATTATTAGCTCACAGTTAATTGGCAGCTGGTGCATTTGAAACATATTTCGCATGAAATTGACTTTTGTTGAAACGTTGCTGAGATGAATGCGAGTGGAAATATTTGACATACAGCCTTAATTTGTTTAAGAAACCAGGCGAAGAATTCAGTTTTCATTTAAAGCCTCGCAACTGATGCACACTAATTGCGACTTATGCAACACTGGCCCAAGCCGAAGCTCTTAAATAAACTTGGTGGCAACCTGCATTAAGAGCCAGGCACAAAGTCTGCGCGTGAGGGAGAGAGAGAGACTGGGCCAAGTGGAACGCTTCATTAGCATCGCTGGGCAATTTTGCGGCTTTGGCTGCAAACTCGGCTACCCAGGCTGAAGGCTGTGTGCAACAGATAAGCTGGTCGGGGGCGTGGGAGTGGCATATTTCTGAATGGAAAGCGAGTTAATAATTAATATCAGCCCAAAGCAGTCAACAGACGTTTATTTTTGTTTCCTTTTTCCCCATTTTCTTAGCCCGAGGATGCATTAACCTCAAAAAACTGTCGTGAATAGTTTGAAAAGCAGGAAAACCGGGAAACCAGGCCCACTCTCCCTGCTTGCACGTGTGTATGTGTGTGAGTAGGTGTGTGTGTGTGTGAGTGTGTGTTGTTATAGGCACAAATCGGGAGCAAATCGGTGGCTGGTAGCCAGGACAACGGCAGCGCGCGCCTCCTCCATATTCATGTGGTTAATTAAAATTCAGCAATTGCTGCACGGATTAGGCCGTGTTCCAGGGATTAGCCGTCCGTCGTCCGTCGTCCGTCGTTTGGTTGCCCCCGACAACGGCAAGGGGCGTATTTATGTCTTGGTCGTGCCATAAACAAACCGGGCAGATTATGTGCATGGACTAGCCCCCGTTTTGGCATCTGTTGCACATTGCACGCTACGTGAGCGCATTTCCGACTCGGATTCCAACCCGACCCCCGCCTCCGCCTCCGCCTGCGTCCATTTGCCGGTCTCTGGTGTCAAAGCGATGACAAGCCTGAACGCCTCCTCCGGCCTCCGGCCTCCAGCCTCCAGCTTCGAAGTGTTTGCCAGGTCGCGTGCTGCGATAAATCTCCCGGCCTAGACTCTGCCATTTCCCCAGCTCCCTCCACTTCGGGCGTGCTGTGTGCTTGTCCAGTGCATCTCGGTTATGAATGGCGGCACGTGACCAAAAATATTAATCAGTTGACATGGCATTAACATAAATCATCCGCAACAATTGGGCTATTTTTTTGCCTACGGCTCAAATTGTAACATTTGATTTGTTTCATTTGCAAGGCATGAATAAACCTTTTCAGGGCTTACAAACTTAAATAAATATATAAATTTACATGGGCATATACAGAGGCATAATAATTGCAGCTTAAAATCGTGATCTTAACAGTAGAAAACTCGGGGAGCTTTAGTCGGGAGTGTCCGACTAGGTAATACCCTGAACCTGCGCCTAGCTCTAGGGAGGGGAAAGGGGCTATTCCAGAATAAATATGTAAGCTTTGCAGACTCTGGCTTTTACAACCCAAGAGATTTGCTCAAGATTTGCGAGTTATTTCGGCTCTCGATGGGAGTCTAGGCCCCTCGCCTCAGGCTTAGATTTGTGAGTCTAGTTTCGCTCATGCATAAAAAGAAGCTCTCAAAATAAACATTTATTTATAATTTCTTACAAAGGACTTTTTTTAAGGTATTATCTATTTCGATAAATCAAGCAGTTCTTAGGAGTTCCGGGCTGGCTTAAGAGTCCTTCCTTCTACACAAAATATGTTAAATTAACATAATGTTATATTTTTCTGTTAACGAACATGGAAACTAGTTGAAACTATTGAAAGTCTTCGAAAGTAATACAATTCCAATAATATTTGCACAGATAGAAAAAACTACTCGAAACGCGAATAATCTTTGGAAAAATGTAAGTTTCGGCTCGTTCTTAGCTTGGGCTAAATTTCTGTCAGCTGACTCGGAACGAGTTGAGGTTTACCAAGTATATTAGATGGAGCTTCCGGCCTTTTTAGAACTTGCCTTAAATTGAATTCATTTAAAGACAAACTGCTAATTGAAGCGAGAGCTTGCATCGCTTTCCAGTCCATTCACAATCGCCTTGAAATTTTATTTTAAAAGCCATTCGATGTCCACAAACAAATTGTCAGATTGTCACGTATGCAACAAAGCCGACAACACTTCACTTGATTTCCCGCCAAGTCGCTGCCCGTCTCTATTTTCCTGGAGCTTCATACGGGAAATTGATCCATATTATTGCACTTTTCAGGGGTAAATGACTTATGAGTGCTTAAGGGAACCCCCTCCCCGGACCACGTCTCACTCTACGTGTGACTAAAAGGACATTTTTCAAGCAGGTCGATTATTGGAAAATAAATTGAATTTGTTGCTGCCAACTCGTATTCTAAGCAACACAATGGACACCTTACAAGTATTTTATATATACATTTTTTTTTATGGTCAAAATCAATTTGTCGCACAGATATTTAATTTATTAACCCCCGCCCCGAACATCGACAATTCGAATTTGCCACCAAAGTCATAAAATCATCTTAGCTGGTC